TCTGATCGGGTCCGGTCGGTTTGAGCCATTTTAGAAGTTTTCTAAATATATGTAAAAATAAGGTAGTAATTAAACATTTAATGACTAAAATAAAATTTATCTTACATATATCTATTAAAAACTTATTTTCCACAAAATAAATCTATATAACCTTCATGACCCACCCACCATCTCCCTTCCTTCGTTCTTCTTCCTCTCTTCTTATCTCTCTTTAGAAGTCAGATCGGAGTGCGGTGCCTGTGACTGGGGGAGGGGTGCTTAGTCACTTGACTAAGCCCCTCCCAGCCCTTAAATTTGGACACTTCAATATAACGGTTAAAAAGTGGGAAGGGCTATTTAATTAATGACAGAGATAGTTTGGGTATTATGAAAAATTACAAAGTATACAAACCGGACTTACAATCAGTACATACCATACAAACAGTACAAACTACAACGACAAAACATACAAACAGATTTACAAACATTACAAACGTATGAAATATACAAACCATACAAAAAAAGAAAAAACAACTGGGTTGACTTTAGATGCTCCATCCCTATATAGAGGGTTTCGTCCAAAGTTAACCCGGTTGTTTTTTAGACATACAAACATTACGAACATGGTGGACAAAAATGACAAACTAGACCGACAATCCATACAACCGGAAAAAACACCTGGGTTGACTTTGTAGGCTCCATCCCTATATAGAGGAGTTCTATCCAAAAGTCAACCAGGTTGTTTTTTAGACATAAAAACATTACAAACATGGTTGACGAAAATGATAAACATGGTGCGCAAAAATAACAAAGTTGACAAACATTACAAAAGCACCCGACAAACATTACAAAATAACAAAACGTACAAATATTACAAAAAAACGGACAAATAGTACAAAGCATCTAACCGTACAAAATAGTCATATAAACATTACAATTTACAAATATAATATACAAAAATGACAAACAATCCAAACCTAATTGTCTGTAAACATTATAAATCAGACTTACAAACATTACAAAATAGAACGACAAACATTACAAAACTATCGCTGTCGTCGGAAAATCCACCATCGTTGGAAAAATCTCGTCTCGGCCGGAAATTCTTGCCGCCGCCGCCGAGAATCTCTCTCTCCTGGTGTAAATGGTGGAAAGAATTCCCAGAACACTCTCTCTCGCGCGTTGAACTTGGGGAAAAAAATTCTCATAACAAAAAAGTGACCTCCGACACCGGCGATGGAATACCTTGGCCGGCGATGGTCGATGGGAAAGTTCCCTGCCCGACGGAGAAAAAGAAGAAACGAGACGGACGGTAGGGAGAGAAGAGCCGGGAAAATTATTTAATAATTGAAAATAAAAATAATAATGCATTTACAGTTTTGCCATTCATTAAAGTAGATTAATTGTAGGCATTAGATTTTAATAAGGTGGAAGGCTTGAGATTTACTTAGGGTTGTGACTAAGGGACCCTCCTTACTCACCCAATCTTAGCTCGGTCAGATCGGGAGGCTTTCTGAAGGCCGTTTTAAAGCTCGACTTGGATCTGACCGGATCCAATCGGAAATTCAATAGGGGTTTAACAACCTTTATAGGAACTGGAAAAAAGGGAACTTGAAAGGCTAATTAGGCACAATTGGGGTATCTCCTTACTTACTATTGGTTTTGTTTCTCATCAGTAGTTTGTCTCCCCTTTTTTCAACATATTTATTTTCTATCATACTATAATTATTTAGTATTGACGTGTATCATACTTTCCACATATTTATTTTCTGAGAGGTCGTTTGGAGGTTGTGATTTCAAGCAATGTATTTAGCCAATGCATGTAATGTCAAGATTAAGCGGTTTTTTTTTAATTTGTGGCATAATACATGTATTACATTTTTCTGGGCCCACCAACAATTACTCCTAATGAGTGATTATCAATCTCTACCAAAAAGTAAGATTCTGATCAATGGATTGTCTACCCTCAATTTTTTTCATTTATAACAAAGCACAATGTAAACCTCTAAACATTGTATTTTTCAAATTCATACATTTCATCAATACATCCAATTACAATACACAAATTGATTAAATATTTTAATTTTGAGAATCCCAACCTCCAAACAACCCCTTAAACGCATAAGTTTTTTCAACTCGTTTTCAGTCCGGTACCGAAACAGAGCTCCAAGTTAACCAGGGGCAGGGAGTGTTTAAGTGGTGGGGCCTCCTCCCACTCCTAGGTCATCAATAGGGATGGTAATGGGTCGGGTTTTGCCAAATTCAAACCCATGGGTTTATCCGTGAAAAAAAACCGGGGGTAAAACCCACTGAGTTTGAAAAACTCAAACTCAACCCAACCCGCTGGGTATCTGCGAGTTGATGGATATCCACGGGTGTTTGTCGTAAAACATTTACAATAACAAGTTCCTATCAAAATTAAAGTCAAATATCAATCTCTCAATACAAATTATCCATATATAAAACACCATTTTAGAAAATTCAAGCTAATCACAAATTAACTATACAAATTGTTCAACACCAATCCAGAAAACTCAAGAAAATTGAAGCAAATAACACATTATTCATAAATAACATGATTAATTGAAAACTTCTTCCTTTCAATTAAGTTTCTTCACTGTCCACTCGATAACATCAACTTCATTCTACACAATTAGAAAGAAAAAATTAGACATGTCTCCACAAACATAAATAAGATTAGTTGTTTAGAATATTAAATATACCGAGAAAATTAATTATATGGGTGTGGCCGGGTACCCATGAGCCGAGTTTACCTAAACCCAAACCCAACCCGATGAATAGTGAATGTGTTTAAACCCAAACCCGACCCAAAAATCCGTCAACACAATTTTACCCGCGTTGACCGGGTTGGACGGTGGGTACCCGTGCGATCGGGTTTTGTTACCATCCCTACTTATGGCTGACTATTTGGTCTGGGTTTTTTGGTTTACCCAAAACCAGACCGTATAACCCGGACCAATCTTTGGGTATAGATTTGAGGTAAAAAACCGTTCGGGACCGGATCGAAAGCTGGATAAAGACCGGATAAGAGAGCTCAACACCCAAAACTTAAGGGTAATTTGCATAAACGGTCACAAACCTTTGCACTTAGTACAAAACTTAACCAATTCCTCACCCTTTCAGGCCTTAGGCTACTCAAATCCCCACAAGCTCAATATAAAATCAAAAGCGAGCTGGGACCGGACCGGATCAAGACCGGACTGTATCCAATCCAATTTTTGGTTCTTATATTTTCAAAAATGCCGGACTGGACCAGATCAATTCAGATCAATTTAACCGGACCGGGCCATATAGCCACCCCTAACCCTACTCATCATGTCTAGCGGGTAGGGTTGTCCATTTGGTTTTGGTTTTTTGGTTTTAACCGAAACCAAACCAATTGGAAAGCTAATGGTTTCAGTTTTTCGGTTTTAAACCAATAAGCAACTTAATGGTTTTGGTTTGGTTAAACCGAAAAACCAATAGAAACCAATAAGAATAAAATTATTTATCAACAAATTTTTTTTTTTGTTTCTTTTGACACTCATGTCAACCAATAATTTGTAATGGCCATTTACCATTATTATGATGTTTATTCAATAAAAAGGAAAGAAATGAGAATAAATATGAGTGCATGAGTACATGTTAGTTTTTTTGTTATCCAAACCAAAACCATTAAAGCCCTTATTGGTTTTTGGCAACCGAAAACCAATAAGGGCCTTAATGGTTTTTGGCAACCGAAAACCAATAAGGGCCTTAATGGTTTTGGTTTTGATTTTTGGAATTTGTTTTTTGGTTTTTCATACTTATTGTTTTGGTTCACCAAACCAAACCAAATTGACAACCCTACTAGCGGGTAAGTAGCAAGTGGGGATTTTTTTGGTTTTTTTTTAAAGGTGGGCACAGTCTGCGTTTTGGGGTCATGCGGATAGCGCGATTTCCAAAAAATGGGTGGTGAGGATTTTTAGTTTTTGTATTGCCCAAGAGGATCAAACGCTAATGACGTCATCGCCGCCGTTGTATTAGTCACATATATTCCACTCGCCGGAGGTGGAAAGAGACCGGAACTAAGCGTCGACCGAAATTAGAAGGAAAAATCGGGGGAAAAGGAGTTGTACACGTGGATATTAATAGCCTGGTGTGGCCACGTCGGCCATCGGGGTGTCGTACCTTCTGCAAGTCGAGGTTAAGACCATCAACAACCATGAAATAGCATAACTATTTCATTTGTGGCCCCTACAGCCACATGTACACCTTTTACAATTTCATTTCTTCACTTCTATTTTTTCTACATCCATGAAATCTACTTTCAATTTCATATGGTGGGCCCTATTCAAATTTATAATACAACAAATAATTTGTATACTCTCTAACCAATTGAAGTGGGCCCACTTTGCCTCTTCCATATTGAATTTCATCTAATGAAATCTTTCAAAGATGAAATAACAAACTACAACCATGAAATTGATAATGGAATTGCCATGTCACAATGAAATGGGGAAAAGACACCCATTGTGGATGCTCTAACAAGAGGTCGACGAAACTTACTGCTAATGCCCATCGTCATCATCATTCAAACAGTACCATTTTTTTTTAATACGCACTATTTCCTTTTTCGCCTAAGCTAATAAATAAATAATAATAATTCCCTCTTGAGTGGGTCCCGCGGTTTTCTAGGGTGGACTCGTCTCTTTAATCGGCGTTTGTCCCCTCCTCTCTCGTAAAATAAAGAAAAAGGTCTGCACTGAACTTTTTACTCAGAAATCTTACACTCCTTTTTCCTTCCCTCTCCTCTTCCCTGTCCCAAGCTCTGCAATTGAAAGCCCATACCCGAGTCTGCAGTGTAAGTAGCTCAACCCTCTTCCTTTTCGTCCTCTGTCAATCTGGCGGCGGCTCTACCGCTGTGTTGACTGATGATAACTCACTCATTTGGGAAGTGACAGTGGCTTTTTTTTCTTTTTTTTCTTTTGTCAATGTGTAATCGCAGCCGATTTGATTTACCGGAGAGATTTGGCCAGAGGATGGCCTATATGTGCGCCGACAGCGGCAATCTAATGGCCATTGCCCAGCAAGTCATACAGCAAAAGCAACAGAGGGAGCAGCAAGAACAGCAACAGCACCAGGAAAATCAGCTACTGGGTTCAGGCCCGTTGAATCCCTGGCCCACCAACCCCAATCTGGCCTACGGCCTGGCCGCTCCGGGGTTCTCCGATCCGTTTCAAGTCCCCGGGTCGGGAGAAGACGTCGCCACGGGGGAGGCAGGGTTCCCGTTCGAGGGCGGCGTCGGGTTTCGGCTCACGGATTTCGGAGGCGGTGCGGCGGCGGGTGAGTTTGACTCGGACGAGTGGATGGATAGTTTAATGAGCGGTGGAGGCGCAACGGATAGTTCCAGTTTGCCTCCTGATTGCGACGCGTGGCAAAACAGTGCCGATCATTTCGCTCTCTACGGTTCGGATCCCTTCGTTGCCGTCCCGTCGGATCTTAACCGGATCCTTCTTCCAGTACCCGCTCCAAAACCGATCCAACCCACGTGGGCTCCACCGTCATCGTCGTCTCCATCTCCTCCACCGGAGGCGACGGTCAAAGAAGCTAAGCCGAAACCCGTCCCGGGGCCCACAGTCTCTTCTTCCACGTCAGCGGAATTGGAGCCATCGTCGTCGTCACCGCCGCTACTGAAATCCCTACTGGAGTGCGCTCGACGCGCCGAGTCAGAGCCCGAATCAGCCATTAAATCGGTGGTTAGAATCCGCGACTCGGCTTCGGAGCACGGAGATCCCACCGAGCGAGTCGCGTTTTACTTCGCCGAGGCTCTGTACAGCCGGCTGTCCCAGCGAGCGGGTCAAACCCTGACCATGTTCGAGACGACGAGCGACGAGTTCACTCTGTCTTACAAATCCCTAAACGACGCCTGCCCCTACTCCAAGTTCGCTCACCTGACGGCCAACCAGGCCATTCTCGAGGCAACCGAAAGGGCGGCCAGGATTCACATAGTCGATTTCGGCATCGTTCAGGGGGTTCAATGGGCGGCTCTCTTGCAAGCCCTGGCGACCCGATCCGCCGGGAAACCGGTTCGGGTCCGGATATCGGGCATTCCCGCACCGGCTCTGGGACCTTCCCCTGCCGCGTCTCTGTTCGCCACGGGGAAACGGCTCCGCGATTTCGCCAATCTGTTGGATCTCAACTTCGAGTTCGAACCGATTCTTACTCCGATCGAAGACCTCAGCGGAGCGAGTTTCCGGGTCGAGCCTGATGAAATATTGGCCGTCAATTTCATGCTCCAGCTGTTCAATCTGCTGGAGGAGATACCGGTGGCGGTGGGGACGGCTCTGAGGATGGCGAAATCGCTGAGCCCGAGGATCGTCACGCTTGGGGAGTACGAAGTGAGCTTGAACAGGGTCGGGTACTTGGCCCGGTTCAAGAACGCGCTGAGATACTACTCCGCCGTGTTCGAGTCTCTGGAGCCGAGCTTGAGTAGGGATTCGGCGGAGAGGCTTGAAGTGGAGAGAATATTGCTGGGTCGGAGAATCGCCGGAGTGATCGGCCCGGCGGAGAAGCCCGGAATCAGAAGGGAAAGGATGGAAGACAGAGAGCAATGGCGGGTACTGATGGAGAGTTGTGGGTTTCAGGCTGTGGCGCTGAGCAATTACGCCATGAGCCAGGCGAAGATCCTTCTTTGGAACTACAATTACAGCCCACGTTACTCGCTAGTTGAATCCAAACCTGGGTTCGTTTCGTTGGCCTGGAATGGAGTTTCCCTGCTCACTGTTTCTTCATGGCGTTGATTAGGGACGAACTGAATCGGTGTTCTTGCTATGTTCATCGAAGTTTCTGAAAGGACCAGATCAATTGGTGGGGTTTAGCTTAAGCTAGATTAAGTCTATAGTTTTTGGTTCTTCATCTTTGCAGTTGTGAATTTCTTTTTGAACTGCGATCTCACTTTTACCCACTTTTAGGCCATTGACCTAATTCATGACACCCTATTTTTACTCTTTTGGTTGCTTATTGTAGTGTATTGTTTTGTTTGCTTCTGCTTTGGTGTTTTCTGGTTCCTTTTACCTTGGTGAAAAAGAGAAGAAGAATGGGGGAAGGAAGGAGGAATTGAATTTAAATGAAATGAAAGAAGGTGAAGCTGAAAGGAAAGGAAAGGCTGCTTGGTTTCCCTATTACAGCCCTGTATTCGTAGAGTTCAGGGTAGTCTCGAACTTAAACATTGTGATTATGCTATTGAGAAAACAGTGTCCAAATATGAAAGAAAGAAAAGTGGAGGAAAAATCAGAAGCACAGTATTCAAAACTGAGATCTCAGTCTGGAGTTTGGACAAGGTACTGTTGCTATTCTGCAGATGAATTGTGAGGGATCAGGGAAGAAACAGAAGAAAAAAAAACGTCCTTTCTTTTTCACCTTCTTTCTTCCATGATTGTATATTGGCGGCAAGCTTTTAACCCACTAGTATACAAATAAATTTCCCTCCAAGCAAAACGGTAAGAAATTACTTGACAGTAGGAACTTGGATCATCACTCATCAGCTGTCATTGGGAATGGGATATGTGATGAGATTCGAAAGTTCTTCGAAACGGGGGAGATGCCTCAAGGGTGGAATGATACCCATATTGCTTTGGTTCCTAAGGTGAAATTTCCGGAGCAAGTGAGCCATTATAGACCCATCAGTTGCTGCAACTTTAAATACAAGATCATTACAAAGCTGATGGCTAACCGGTTTGGGAAATGGGCTCCTGCACTGATATCAGTCTTGCAAACAGCCTTCACCAAAGGTCGTCTCATTCAGGATAATATAATCATTGTTCACGAAGTGCTTCATTATTTCAAGAACCATCGTCAGGGCAATAAGAAGGACATGATGTTGAAACTTGACATGAGGAAGGCCTACGATCTTGTTGATTGGGACTGCCTTGAAACTCTGTTGTCAAGGTACGGTTTTGCTGCCCAATGGCTTAAGTGGATTAGTGCTTCTATTCGTACGGTCAGGTTCTCTATCCTGATCAATGGTGAAGCAACCGATTTCTTCTCCCCATCTAGGGGTATCAGACAAGGCGACCCAATGTCCCCTTTCTTATTCATTCTCATGTCAAATGCTATGACATTCCTGATTGAGAAAGCAGTTGCTACCCGCCAAATTCAAGGAATCAGATTGAATCCTAGGTGCCCTACTCTCTCTCACTGCTTATTTGCGGATGATACAGTGATTTTCGGGAAGGCTACCCAACAGGAGGCTGAGAGAATTCTCAATGTGATAAACCTATATGGGGTAATTACAGGCCAAGAGGTTAATGGGAACAAGTCCTCGATCTTCTTCAGTGCAAACGTGTTACCAGAAGAGAAAGCGGAGATTATTGCTACGGTGGGTTTCTCGAGTTCGAATTGTCATTCCAAGTATTTGGGAGTGCCAACGGAATGGGGTAACTCCAAAAAAGAAACATTCTCTTTTCTTATTGAGAGAATGGAGAAACAAGGTGAAGCATGGAAAAGTCTCATTCTCTCTTTTGGGGGAAAAGAGGTCTTACTCAAAGCGGTTATTCAGGCTATACCGACTTTTATCATGAGCCTTTTCCTCCTCCCAGACGGCCTCACAAAACGTATGGACTCAATATTGAGACGATTCTTCTGGTCTGGTTCTATGGTGAAGAAGACAATTCATTGGTGCAAAGGAAAGATCCTATGCTTACCCAAAAGTGAAGGTGGACTGGGTTTTAGGAGTTTCAAGGACTTTAACCTTGCTTTGGTTGCAAAACAAGCTTGGAGACTCTTCACTTCCCCGGATACTCTTTGGGCTCGGCTTGTTAAAGGCCTGTACTACCATCAAGGAGATTTCTTGTCCTCCCGTAAAGGTAGTCGTCCCTCTTGGATTTGGGCTAGCTTATGGGAAGCAAAGAAAATCTTAAACCTGGGTACTGTTCGATCATTGGTAATGGAGAGGACACATTTGCTTTTAGGGATCCTTGGGTTTCTTCGGCCATTGACCATCGATTGTCTGCGGAGGAGCTCGATGATACAAGAGTGTCAGAATGGATCAACAGGAATGATAATGAATGGAACCTTAGTGTAATGCCCAGTTCTCTTTCTGAGGAAGAGGTGGAGGCAATCCGAAGGATCCCAATTGGTTCAAATGAGAGGAAAGACATGTGGGCATGGAAATTTACAGAGACAGGGAAGTTCACAGTTAAAACTGCCTATCATGCGTTCCATAATTCGATCTTCGGTAGTGCTAACCATGGTGATTATGTGTCGAATTTTGACAGGGATCGATGGAAGTGGATTTGGAGTTTATCCCTACCACCGAAGCTCCATTTTTTCATTTGGAGGAGTTCAAGGGATTACTAGCCACAAGGAAAAACCTCCAGAAAAGAAATTGCTCCCCTAATGCATTGTGTCCATGCTGCAACTGTCCAGAGGAAACCATTGGTCACTGCCTGTTCTTCTGCACGCATGCTGCGAATGCTTGGAATAGACTTTTCCCTACCCTTTCGCTCCCCTCCACCTCAACTAGCTTCTTTGACTGGTTCTGTGGTTTGAAGGAAAGTCTCTCGCCCTCGAGCCTTCTTCAAGTCATCTTCCTATGTTGGAATATTTGGAAAACAAGGAATGCCTGGTTGTTCAGGAAATGCACTCCATCAGACTATGGAACTTGCATCACAGCAGTTAGGGAATTCTTGGAGTGGAGCAATTGTCCGAGACGTTCCCCTCCATTTACGACCGCTCAGAGTCAACCCAGAGGGCCCCATCTACATTCTTGCCCACCGCCATGTACCCCCTTAATGGAGATACACTGCGACGGATCATTCCTACATGATTCCCAGGAGGCGGCTTACGGTATCGTCATCAGTAACGACCAAGGACAGATTTGTGATGGACGGGCTGACTCTTTTCTTTGTTCATCTCCGATTGAAGTTGAAGCAAAGGCTATGTTAGAAGGACTGAAAATTGCTCAAGAGTATAACGTGGCGTGTGTGCTCTGGTCCGACTGTGAAGTTTTAGTGAAGGCTATTTCTCAGGGGTCAGATTCCTGGCCATGGAGATGTGCCTCGATGTTGGAAGCTATGCGGATTATCCTCATCTCAGCGCCTTTGATTGAGATTCGCAAGATCCCCCGTCGTTTGAACTTCAGAGCTGACTGGGTTGCTCGGTCACAAGCTAGTCATTCTCTCCCATGCGATTGGCTTACTATTCTTGATTTAATTTCAGCCCATGTCTGATTGATGTCCCTTTGTATCCGAGTTTCGATGATGAATGAAGATCTGATTACTGTCAAAAAAAAAAAAAAAAACTCATCAGCTGTCATTATCTTTTTGAACCTGTGGGTGGTGAGCAGTTCCGTAAGCTACAGAAGACCATGTTGGACACGGTAACAAACATAGATGGCAAGGCAAACAGTGAAAGCAAAAGCTTGAAGGTGGAGATGGCTTTCAAGTACCCAAATGAAGGGTTTTGGACAGAGACCTCCACAACCCAACAGCCCAATACCACAGTATGTTTCTCTGAAATGACTTGTGTCATTACTTATCCTGAGAGATTGATTATCCATCTTCTGTTATCTCCTTGCTGTCACACATATTTATAGGCATTCAGCAGAGTTTTAGCTATTTGCTTTTCTTATCTGAGAAAAGTCACTCTTTCTCTTTCTTTCTTTCTCTGCACACCCATCCATCGTTTTCTCCTTGAATCTAAGAAACCTGAAAACGACTGCAACTTGTACGATTTGGGTCCACTCTGCAGCCCTCTGTGCAAAAATTATGCAATCTGGGAAATGAAATGAGACCCATTTCCCCACCACCATCTCTGCGATAGTGGGTTTAATGCATGTCCCTTTCGCCCACTGTGACGCAGAGAAAGAAGGGGGGGAAAGGCCATAGTTGTGGAACCGAGAAAGAGAACAAAACAAAACACCAAACGCAAACGCAAACGACTTCTCTTTTGGAACCAAGTTTGCGGGGGGGCTGCAGTTTTGCCTGCTCACAGTGGCTAATCTGATTGTGACTGTTCGAGCTCCCTCCATCTCTGAATTCACCAGGGAGCCAAAGAGCAGAGGGGGAAATAATAGTGCGCTTTTCACTTTTCACTTTTCACTTTTCAGAGAGCAAATGTGTTACAATTACAAGGCAAACAAGGCAAGTGTGGGATTGCTTCACGCTTGTGACCTTCAACGTGAATCTATGTGAGGTTTCCTTCCTTGTTGGAGTTTACCTCCCACCACGCACTACAGTTGTAGAGCACTGTTCTTGTTTGCTCGATCACGAATTGGTATGCGTCTACTTATCGTGAGTGTTTTAGTTTAAGTATGGATTTTATTAGGGTCTAGAAAAGTAAAAGTTCATTTTATTTGAGTTAATTTCAACATGCTACAGATTTGTTAAATAAAAGTTTTTTCACTTTATTTAAGTTCACTTTATTTATTATGGAAATGAATAGCTTTATTCAACGAAAAAAAAAAGAAATGAATAGCTTTTGAAATTACAGTAAAGTCTCAAATTCAATATCATATAGATGAGTGAAGGCCTGCAAAAGGTAAATAAAAATATGGATCTCTCTACAAAGGGTGTAGCTTATAGTAGAAACATGAGAGAGTGTTCTTCAACTCCATTTTTTCACAAGACCAAAGTTAAAAGAGAGTGGTTGTTTAATTTAGGAGGCGACCGACTAATAGTTTGTTGTGCACAATACGAGGGTGTAAGGTGTAACCCTATGCGTTGCCCTCTTTTGTGGAAGAGGTCGGACCTAAGTGTTCTCCAAACTTCACACATACTCGTCATCCCGTCGATCCCTCAAG